ACCTCGCTGCGGATGTCACCAAATGATGCCTTGTGCGAAAACTAGCATACACCAATTATTTTTCTACTTGTAGAAGAAGAGAAGGAGAGCTCGTTGCCAAGTACTTATAAGCAGAATGTGAAGTGCAGAAAAAGGAAAATTAGAGAATAAAATGAGTTGTATTATTCATTATTCTACCTTTTCTTTGATCTTAAATTACAAGCATTTCAATGTTCCATCCAATTGGGTACATCTTAAATTATTAACCTAATTCTCCATTAATTTGTTGGGTTTGTGACCCAAATTGGGGTGAATTTTTTTTTAAAATAAATTGTTTCCTTTTTCTCATGTAGGAAAATTTGTTTTCTTATATTTCACGTAATTTTTATGGAAATATATTATTTCCTTATTCCACATTATTTTTATCTTTATGCTATATCATGTACCTATAAATAGTGGTCTTCTCTTTCAATTTTGTTAAAAGTAAGAATTGCTGAGTTCTTTTATTTCTCTCTATATTGTCGATTAATAAGACGTCGAGATTCTGAGATTAACTTTCTTTTTTAATTTCTTTACTTTTAAATTTTGTTTCTTGTTACGATCTTCATTACTTCATATTACGTCATTAATCTCATTTACTACAATTCTTCCGAGTCCAACAAGTGGTATCAGAGCTTAGTTCTTCTTCTAAGGATTGGTTGAGATTTTTTTCAAAGATGACTATCATGAAGTATGATATTCCACTGCTGAATCGCAATAGAATACTTTCTTTGTGGCAAGTAAAGATGAGGACTACTGGGCTTCTAAGGATTGGTTTGAGAAGATGTTAGCAAATTGAACAACGGAGGAGAAACAATAGAGGGATTGGAAGGCTTTATCGTTGATTCATCTTCATCTATCCAACAATATTTAGCAGGATGTCTTAAAGGAGAAAACAGCAGCTGCTTTGTGGTTGAAACTGGAGCAGTTATGTATGACCAAGAGTCTTACCAGTAAACTGGCTTTAAAGCAGAAGCTATATTCCCATAGCATAGCGGAAGGAAAGTCGTTGGAAAACCATATTGCCATGTTCAAGGAAATTTTCTGAGATTTGGAAACGTTGGAGGTTAAGTACAATGAAGATGATCTTGTCTTGATTGTATTATGTTCGCTGCCTAACTCTTATGCGTCATTTCGGGACACTATTTTTTATAGTCGGGATACTTTGACTGTAGACGACGTCTATGATGCTTTGCACTCAAAGGAGAAGTTGAAGCATTTAGTTGGAGTTACATCGAGAGATGAGGGAGCTCTTGTATCTTATGGTAGTGGATGAAGTGGCAGATCGAAGAATAACAGCAATTTATTTTGCTTCTATTGCAGACGTAAGGGACATGTTTGGAAGGATTGTGATAAGTTGCATGCTAAAGGTGATTTAGCTGCAAATCATGGAGCACAAACTTTGACTTTAGACGAAACAAATGCAGTTGAGAATTTTTCAGGCGGCGGAGATGTGATGTTGATCGTGGTATCTAATAGGAATCTAGGCTTGATGAAGAGTGGATTCTCGATTCGGCATGTTAGCATCATATGTGTTCTAATCGAAATTTCTTTTAGACATATAAGGCCGTCAAACAAGGTAGAGTTGTGATGGGAAACAACCAGTCTTGTCGCGTTGATGGAATCAGTCGAGTCAGATTAAGGTTATAGGATGGAACAGTCAGAACAATTGATGAGGTTCGATATGTTCCAGACTTGAAAAGGAATCTCATCTTACTTAGTACTCTGATTATAAAAGGGCATAAATTCTCTTGTGGAGGAGGAGTCTTGAAGGTCCAAATGGGTGTCCGGGTTGCATTGGAGTAATGGAAAAAGTCTCAGTTGTACATCTTACAAGGAAGCGCAAAACCAGTTAAGAGACATCGAGATAAGTTCAGTATCATGGTGAATATTCAGTTCAGTACAGTACCTCTTGTGACGGGCTTTAGGTCGATTCAGAACATTGCTTAGTGGAGCATTGATGATTCCACTTTGCCACCAATTTCAGCAGATACACTGTATTCATTTGCTAGGATTGGACTCATAGAGCGTAGGTACCATGATGTCAATAATGTTTGGGATGCTTTTGGGAACGTTAAAGGCTATAGTTCTAGAAATGGGCCTTCTGATCCAGCATATGGTATGGTTTCTACTACAGGGTATGCTTCGGCCCTATTTGGTCAACAGTAATTCCTCGGTGGAATTTTAGGAACCTAGGATTTTTGTTCAGGTGTTGCTTGTGGACACCTTGCAGAGGACGAGGGTCTGGTTTGGAGAGTTTTGGTTACTGAGTTGAGAAGATTGGCTATTTCGATGCAGACAGATTTGAAATCTTGGAGTTTCGTTCGTTGCAATAGAATTTGTATCAAGGTGGAATTTGTTGGATTTGTGACCCAAATTAAGGTGGATTTTTTTGAAAATAAACTGTTACCTTATTTTCATGTAAAAAATGTGTTTTCTTATATTTCACGTGATTTGGTATAGAAATTTTGGATTCAATCATTTGAAGTTTTCTTCTGTTTAATAATCCCATCAAAATTCTAATTTCAAGAGGTGGATGTAAAAGAGAACAAATACAACGACGACGACGACGACAACAAATTATGTTTACTACCGAATAAATTTAAATAAGTTGCATAAATCATGGTTCATCTAAAAGGAATAAATAATAAATGAATAAATAATTTTGAATCCTATGACACATTATAAACAGCCACTTATATTGAAGTTTAATGTATGTTAATTTTGTCATTCACGCACACAAAAAATCTCATTTTTGAGTTCTTGAAGAACACAAAGAAGGTGAAAGAATTAGGTGAAATCAAGAAAAATCCATTTGAATTATTTATGTGTTTGTTTTATTATTCCAACAAAATTATTTTATTCTCATTAATACATAATTTAATATTTTTCCAACAATTTATATAGATGATTTCTCAATAAATATTTGAACCAAGTGAAAAGTCAATTTAAATTATTAATTATTTTAAACTAAATAGGCAAGCCATAAATATATATTTCACGCCCTTAATATTCAATTTTTGAATCAATTGAAAAAATACCGACATGAAATTTTCAGTACATTAAAATATGTAATTAAAAAAAAAATTACACTTATTTTAACTATGAATTATGTAGATATCTACAACCACGGACTTGATCCGATCTAAATTGACTAATTATCAATAGTGGAAGTTACAGAAATTCCTAGTGTTAAATCATATATTCTAAAATCAGGTGGGAACTTTCACATTTCACAAATAAGATATTTCACATTTAAATATAAATATCAAATATACAATTTTCATCCCAAAACCCTAATCAATTCACTCCCTCCTTTCTTTCTCTATATTTGCTTCTCTCACTCCTCTCTCTTTATACTCGTAGATGCCGCAGTCTCTCTCAGCCAAACCATCACCGATTGATGATGGTCACAGATATCGTCGGCCAGAAGAATAGATTCATCCTTAGCTGCGCGATGGTACACTAATGATTTGCTAGGGTTTTGTGGTGATGGTGGCAGTGGAGGTTTTGTGGAGGTGGATCTTGAATTGTCTGCCAGAAGAAGGGCAAATCGTTAGCCAAAAGTCAGCGATGTAGCACTGGGCAAGGTCGTGCCAAGCCATGGACGAGATTTCTCTCTGTTTTGATGGTGTTGATGGAGCGTATGGTGGTGGTGTTGTGGTGGTGGCTGGGATGAGGCGTGGGTGTTGTTGGTGTTGTAGTGGTGGTGATATCAACGATTGTGGCGGCGGGCAACGTCTCTGGTGGTGGTAGGCAGTGGTGTGATGCTTTGGAGTGGTTGGATGCGGTGTGGGTGTTTATGATAATTTTATTGGTTGATTGAAAATTGTGACAAATAAAATGATTAATTTGTGACCAATGTGGTGGTAGTTTTGGCGACGATGGTGGTAGTGCTGTTGGAGGCATCTTTGAAGTGGTGGTCACAGGTGTTGGTGATGATCACAGATTATTTGGTTGATTGTGACCAGTGCATTGGTTAATCCGAGACCAATAAATAACATGGGACCAATGAAAAAGATAAATTGTGATCAAGAAATAATTCGTAACCTAAAAAAAATTAATAATTTGTGTTTGTCTAATAAATTGTGACCTATAATATTTGTGATCTGTGAATTATATGTAAATTGTGACGTGTAAATTTTTAATCTGTGACATATGAACAAATTGGGACTAGTAAAAAAATTTAAATTGTGATCGTAAAATAATTTGTAACATTAAAAAATTCTGATTTGTGATCGAAAAATAATATGTGGATAATTAAATTATATAGATATGTGACCTTAATATATTTAATTAATAAAATATATAATTAATTAATTAAATTATAAATAAATTTTAATGAATATTTAATTTTTGAAATTTGAAACATTTTTCTTACTTTTGAAATGGATAATAGTTATCCTCTTATGAAATTTTCCCTTATCAATAATAACCAATATTTTAAAAATCAGATTGGATAGCTAGTTCAATTGTATGCTCAAAACTGTTTCGATTTGACTTATAAAAACTCTAATTAAGGGCTCGTTTGACATAACTTTTACTTCTTGTAAAAGAACTTTTGGAGGAAGTTATTTTAATTTTTGTTTGAAAACTAATATTTAAAAGTATTTTCTATTCCAGAAGTGTTTTTAAAAGAAGCCACATTAAACTAGCTTTCTCTAAAAGTTATTTTAATCATTAAAAACACTTTAAAAAAATTAGTCAAACGAGTCCAAAAGCTCCTTTTGGCTTTTCAAAAGTCATGTCAAACGGGCTCTAAAAGTCTTTCTAGAAACTCATTGAATTATCTTGTTTTTAAGAAACTCGTGACACCGCTTTCCAGAGACAGAGGGAAGGGAGGGAGGGGGCAGCACTAGGCTACAACCCAATGCTGCCAAAGCCCATGTCCATTACAAGCCCAAAAAAATTTTAGAAAATTTTTAGTTTTAGTCCATTAGCCCACCCATCAACCTGGCCCAAAAAACTATTTTAATACCCAATAGGCAATAGCCCATTGCCCAACACCGGATTATACAACAAAATGAACAAATATATCTCCTTCACTTTCATTCCACCTGCCCAGATTTACGCGTCTCTCTCTCTCTCGGTCTGTGGCTTTTTTATTGAAAGTTTTGAAAACAAAAATTCTCAAATCTTTGAATAACCCTAATAGGCTAATCCCCAACCTTTCTATTCTTTTCCCTAATTACCATCTCAAAGGAGATCGTCGGCCACAAACAAGAAAGAAGAACATGTGAAGGTTGATGAGTTTAGGTCGGCTGTCGGCAACTCCATCGATAATTCGATTCGAACCCCATTTTTAGCCAACAACTCATATCTTTCGATTATTGGTTAGTAATTGTGGCCCTTTTTAATACTTGTGTCATGATTTAAAATAACTCTTTTTTTGTATTAAAACAATTTTTTTAGGCAAGGTGTTTTGATGTTTTAATTTTTTTTTGCTGTGTGTAATGTATTTGATTAACGATAATTTTTTTATCTATGTTATGTTTATGGGTTATATTATTATGCTACATTTTTTTTTTGCAAAAGGCATGCATTTGGAATTCGAAGTCTCCAACTCCCTATTGATGATCATCCATCGGATTCAGATCCAAATGCATTTGCCACTATAAATAATTGGAATTAATTAGGCGTGTAAATTTTGCTAAACTTCAACGGTAGTATTAATTTATAGAAATAAAATGAGGTAGAAAGTCTTTAACACGTCCTCCAACATTTCATTCTGAATTTGAAATGATGTTCACCGGATTATATAAGCATTAAGCAAATAACAGATGAATAGAAATATAAGCATAACCTATTAATGTAGTATATAGTACAAAATAATTGAAAAATAAGTGAGGTTTATTATTCTTGTTGATGAAGTGCAGTACAAAATAGATTAATGAGGTTTTGAAAAATAACTGATTAAACATAACTGATTAATGCAAAGTTTAGTATTCTTATTGATGAAGCTCGAGATGCATCTTCACAAGAACAAATGGCTATTATCTTCAGGTTTGTGAGTGGTAATAGAATTTTGACAGAACTTTTTTTTTTTTGGCAATCAAAAGTGTTAGTGACACTACATCGTTAAATCTTAATAATCAAATTTTTGATGTTCTTGTTTAACCTTCAACTGCAAAACATAAGAAGTGAAGGGTATGATAGTGCTAATAACATGCGTGGTGCTTGGAATGGACTACAAGCATTATTTCTTAGAGATTGTCCGTATGCATATTATGTCCATTGCTTTGCCCATCATTTACAACTCAAGTTGGTTTCAGCAGCTAGGGATGTTGCAGTTATTAATTCATTCTTTTCAGATTTGGACAATGTTATTAATATGATTACATCATCTCCTAAGCGCATCAATGAGTTCAAAAGTTCCCAAAAAAAGAAATTGAACATTTGTTCGAAATTGGAGAACGAAAGACTAGAAGTGGGGATAATCAAATTGGTAACTTGCAACGAGCTGGAGGTACTCGTTGGTCTTCTCATTACAACTTTGTAAAGAATTTGATTGATATGTATGCTGCAACTTGAAAGGTGCTTGAGTATCTTGGTGATCATTCTCCAAATGTAAGAACTCGATCTGAAGTGGGTGGTGTATACAAAAAATTGACAACATTTGAATTTGTATTTATTTTGCATTTAATGCTCCTAATGTTGGCAATCACAGATATGCTTTGTCAAGCCCTTCAAAAAAAAACTCAAGACATCTTAACTGCTATAAGATTTGTCCATACTATAAAAATCATCATTCAAGAATTGAGAGAAGATCCCTGGGAAGAATTTCTTGAAGAGGTGAATTATTTTTGCTCAAAAAATGATATACATATACCTGATTTTCATGGTTGATACATGGTTGGTCGTTCTCGTGGTCATGAGTATCCTATCATCGAACATCATTACCACTTCGATATTTTTAATGTAGCTATAGATTTTCTAATGACGGAGTTAGATACAAGATTTAATGAGACATCATTAGAACTCCTTTCTCTCGGTGTGGCATTGGATCTGAAAAATTCTTTTGAATCATTTAATATGGATAATATTTGCAAGCCTGCAGAGAAATTTTATCCTCAAGATTTTACACAATAAGATATTTATAATTTGAAAGTTGAGTTGCAACATTTTCAGCATAATGTGATTTCTGAACCTCGATTTCAAGTATCTACACTTTTTGATTTATATCAAGAATTGGTTGCAAGTAGAAAATCGGAGAGTTACGTCAATTTGACTAAATTGATTCGTCTAGTATTGACACTGCCTGTTTCAACGGTTACTATGGAGCGAGCTTTTTCTGCAATGAAACATGTGACGACGGAAATTCGTAACAAAATAGATGATGATTTTCTTGCTGATTGTATAACACTTTACATTGAATGAGAATTTTCTTTGGATTTAGATTTAGATTCTATTATTGATGAATTTTATGCTATAAAATATCGTCGGGTACAACTGTAACTGATAATATTATATTATGAATTTTATTCATACATTAAATTTCTAAAGCTTTGCCCCCCGTAACATTAATTCTTGGCTCCGTCCCTGCCGCTTCCGCTTTACTTGGATTAAAGTGACCCTTATTTATCTCACAATCATTTGATTTCTCCTTCATGTTCTCTATGCGAAATCGAAGATTCAAAACACAGATTATTGCTTTGTTTCTTCCAAATTTGTCTACTTGATTCTTGATACCACATTCTAATTCTTGGGTTGATTGTGTTCTTCAAGTATTGGGTCACGAAGGTTTATTGTTCTAACTTCTAATACAGTCTTGTTGTTTCATAAGATCGATTTTCTAGTAATACGATCCATGTTGTGATTTGTAGGAAGGTCTACAAAACTTGTTTTGGGTCTCTGCATATGTAGGAAGGTGTCCAAATTTTTTTTGTTGTTGTCTGTGTGATGAATTTAGGCCTACAATTATTACTTCTTATTGAGATTCATAGTTTGAAGATGGCTCTTATGGTTCATCAGCAAACTCTGGCTCAAAATCTGCAAGGACCGACCTCTTTAGGGTTATTGTTTTCCTATAACATATGATGACAGAATGGGGAAACATGTATTTTTATTCTGGCACTTGAAATTTGTTGAATGTTGCAAGAGAAAACGTATACATGCGCCTTTTGGATCTTGCTTTTTACACTTTTTTCTCTACAAAAGTATATTTTCCAAGATTTTGTTGACATATAACAGATTTTCAAAAAATTGATTTCTCTATTTGCACTTTTGCTTGCATATTATCCAGATTATAACAATGGAATAGTGATTGATGTTGAAATGTGTAGTTAAAAAAGAAGTAAATTTTTTTGATTTACATGTAATATTATTTTAATGAAGAACGTGTAACTAAGAATGAGTACTGTAGAATAAATAATATGTTAAAATGTAAAAAAATGGTAGACAAACAAAGCCTTAATTTTCATCAAAATATATTCTTCAACAGTGATTTGACACTATATCAACCACAAATTTTTCAATAAAATAATATTACAAATCTAAATCATTTCCTTATTTTTTAACCACACATTTCCCATCATAACACTATTTCAAAATGTATTTTTTGAGAAAAATAGGGCTCAAACAACCCCTCAGCATTTAATGATGGAGATCAAGGATCAGTTGATAGTATTTTGTTACCCCATTTGATTTTCTGTATTCTTCTGAATTTCTTTTGATGTGCATGTAATGATAAGAAGAAAGCAGGATCCATAGTTGTCTCGATTGTGCTATCGAAGCCTGTGGAAAGTTGGAATAGGAGAGCACTTGTTTTTCATGTCATATAGTGGAAAGTGGTTTAAACAAATCATCAAAAGTAATTAATTCCTTTTTTTAAACATAACCAAAGTTTAAATCACGTCTAGTAGTTCTTAAAAGTAATACATAACTTTTTTGTTAAACATGATTGCATTTGTGGTGAAGTTCAGTTGATATGAGAGCTTAAAATTTGAACATCATGATATTCGACACACAATGAATGTTATCCAGTACTACGTTTATATAGGAAAGAAGTGACGAATTATTTATAAGTGGAAAAAATAATGATTTAATAAAGTTGATAGTGTGGATATGTTTTTGGAATCTAGATATTTAAATTGTAGAATTAACTCTAGATTCTAGCGTTAGGTTGTTTCCTCAAATAGTATATTTTACTGTGATAAAAATAAATTATAATTTTATTTATTTATTATATTTAATTATCATTGAGCATGCATATTAAAGTGTATATGATCACAATTACAAGAACAGACCATCCATCGAGTTTAATTATATAGCATTGTCGTGCGGAGAATTAAACTCTACTTGATCGCTGTGAAACACATCTAAATCCCTTGATAGGATCATGCATATTTTTTCATGATTTTAATAGTTCTTTGATTTATTAGTGGTGAGATTAATTTAATTGGTCAAATATCTCGATAAATTGGGATCTTGAGAATGAAAGAAGTAGAGAACATGAATTTGTGTCAAAAACCATTGCTCTAAAAATGGGTAGAGTGACTACTTAAGTATTTTTTGTTGAACGGTTAAAATTTGAGTTTAGTGTTTAGCGACGACTAAACTTCGACACTAAAGAATTGGATAAGAAGTAGAAGAGGGGAGAAACAAAGACAGACAGTTTGATACACCCTTTTTTTCACATATTTTTATTTATACTGATGCCATACTCCATCCATTTAAATCAAATATTGTTGGAAGTGGACACTTGTGATTATGCATAGAATTGAAAGCTAACAATCTTCTTGTTATATTACTACATCTCTTTTCGCATCTGAATTCTTCGAATGACTTGAATGGCTAAACTAATTGCAATTATTTTGCCAAGGTATATTAGTGTGTTTCTTCTAACAAATGTCATTCCTCTTCAATATCATTTGGTTCTGATTTTTTAAGCAAAAAAATTAAATTTTTGACCGTTATTTAATATGGTCAGCCATCATTTTTGACCTCTTCATTCGCAGGTAGGACCACTTTTCAAGCTAACGATCAAAAAATTAATTCTCTTAATCAGTACCAAGCAAGCTCTAAATATTGCTCTCACGTAGTCATGCATTGTATTACTAATCTGACATAAGATCTTGAAGTTCGGATTTCTGTTCTGTGTTTTCATGGCTGATCTTTCATTTTTGTTCTTCACATTTAGGAATTGACAGTTCCGTTAAATATTTCTCCTCTCAACACTCTTATGTATTTGAAAAATTCCATACAAAAATTTCCAGCGAAATTGAAAAGATTGTATTGCGAGTAATGTTGCTAAGTTTCTGTCTCTTTCGGCTCTTTATCGTTTAACACAGTTGTTTCGCGCGGGTTTGTCGCTAACAATTAAAAAAGGATCAGAAGATTGTGTAAGGGACAAACCTCTTGAAATAAAATCCCAAAAAGGGGGCGTTCTTTATTGGCGATGACTTTACAATCGGAAAGTAAAAACAGAATGCCTCCAAGGGGCGCAAGCACACGAGTTACTGAAAGAAGTGTTTAAATCTAAACTAAGAAATTTAAAATTGCATGTTCTCTGTTCGAGAGTTTTTTGATTCGGGGGTCCTTTTGCTCTATGTCTTTTCTTCCTTTTATACTCCCTGGATGATCTCTTTGTGATCAACCACCTAAAAACTGCTTGATCGTTCTATAACTGCCCACTTTCCTTGTAATGGTCAACTTGTCATGGAACTGCCTTTTCTAACTGTTGCCATTACTCTTTGTCGTTCAACCGTCTTCAATTGAATTCCTTCAATCGTGGAACGTAATAGGGCTGCTTTAATAACTGCTTTGATAACTGCGCTTCTTGATAACCACAACACTTCATGTTTGCTAAGACCTTGGGCGACTCGAAGGTTTGGGCGAGAATAGAGTAGCAGTTCTGGGCGACTGCATGGCACTCCATTCGCTCAGATCTTGGGCGACTTGCAAGCTTGGGCGATGGTGTTGCCGCGTTCATGGGCTTCCCTATTTGGGCCTTTATCCTGAATTGTCTGATTGGGCTTCGTTCTTTGGGCTATCTAATTTGGGGATCTTCCAATTGGGCTTCATTCCTTGGACCGTTCGATTTGGGCTGAATTTTTATGTGTCAACAATTACCCCCCCAATATGGCAGAATTAATACCAATTATTAAATTTTGCCATATTCATTTTGTTTTTCCAGCAACATTCAAAATTCCCAAGAATTTCAATCATTGTTTTCTTCCATAGTTTGAAAAGGTGCGACGTTTTGCAAACCCTTATAACTCCCAAATACGCCATTTCACTGCACCATTAAATCACGCCTCACTTTTTCGCGTTTCTCTCCCACAATTTACTGTTCATCTCTTTGCTTCGCTGCTACGTAATTCTGAAAAACTCCGTTTCGTCCCTAATGACTACTTCACAATCTCAATCTGGCGACTCCTTTAGTTTCGATGACTTTCAGAAACTCCTTAATCGTCCATACATAACTCCGAACTTTCTCGCACCTGCCAATGTCGAACTCAATGAGTTCTACCTATGTCCTTTCTTCAACAATGCAGAGGCAGTCGAACAAGCGGCGGTGGGCCAGCTGTTTCCATGTACTCAAGGCCCTCCATTTCTAAACTCTCTGCCGCTGGGGCCACTTCGTGAAAGAGGTATTCGCACTTAGCCTAAATCTGATATAGTTTTTCGTAGGTGGCATGCTCG